TACAACTCCAAAACTCAAGGTCAATGCCCACCAAACCTTTCTAGTGTTTTCTGTTGGTCAGGGGAGTCCTGTGTGCCAAGTTTGGTTCAATTCCATCGTTGGTGGAGTTCAGAATGCTCTTTGATTATAGGTGAACTATAAATCCCAGCAACAACTCCCAAATGACAAAATCATAATTTTTTTTAGTGATGGTCACTCCTTGTGGTGTGAGATGTTTTGTTGCCAAATTTGGTGTGATTTCGTTCATTGGTTCTTTTATTTATAAGGTACTCATTACGCACAGAGCATTTATATATATAATTTTTATTTATTATTTTTATTTGGCTTCCTTTTCTCTCTTCTTTTCTTCTCTATTTCCATACTTCTCTCTATATTTATGTTCCTCCACTTTCACTGTACAAAGAGTCACAGTAATATGCTTGATGTTTGATGTTTGTTTGTTGTATCATCTTTACCCATAAGTTTGTCTATTAGCACTACAATTAAGATATGTGCAGTGTGCATAGGAATTCATTCATTTTTTTTTCAAATTATAATCCAGCCCTTCAACAGTTTGAGGGACTGTGACCTGGCCCTCTGTTTAAAAAGTTTGAGGACCCCTGGACTAGACAATGGGACTGGACATTGTTTTAACAAGGAGATGCTAATGGTTTATGTTTGTATTGATTCTGTTGTGGTTTTATATTATATATTAATGTTTTTAATTATATTTGTGGTATTGTGAGCATCAGATTGTTGCCTTGTAAACTGCCTTGAGTCGCCTGCGGGCTGAGAAAGGCGGTATACAAATACAGTAAATAAATAAATACCTAAATAACAGTAAATAAATAAAAGCTAGGTAAAAAGAGACTGTCAGACTGATGCATAGTGTGTTTTATATTATGAAGATGGTCATTTTGACCAGTGTTTGACATCATGTTCAGTCTTTCCATAGTCTGGTAGTTATTTCCCATGTTAACAGCCTACAGTTATTCACTCAGGATAGAAGCTTTAGACATTAAAATGTAACAGTTTTATAATTCATTGTCATTTGGTTTTGTTTGGTTTTTTTGAAGTTTGCATGGCTTTGGAGTGGCTCAGCTCTCTTCTGACATCTGCAATGAATTGGATTCCTCCGTTTAAAACTGCTTTGCGGTGGTGCTGACAGAGGAACTGAAACCACAGCAATCCATTCCAAGCGATGCGATGAATTTGTACTGGAATTGATTTTAACTGTCATACCACAATTTCAGATAGACTCTTCCCTTTGTGATTTTTTTGTGATTCTGAATTGAACCTTTTATTTTCTGTGATCATTGCCTTATTGTATGTGTAATGCAAATGATTGCCTTCAGTTGGACTATAGAGCGGGTGCATGACTACTAGAAAAGAAGTGACATAATCCAGCCCTTCCTAATTGGAAACTGTTTCCACCACAAATAAATGTCCCAGATCTGGGTTGTTGTAGGTTTTTCTGGGCTATATGGTCATGTTCTGGAGGCAATTTTCTCCTGACGTTCCGCCTGCATCTATGGCAAGCATCCTCAGAGGTAGTGAGGTCTGTTTGGAAGTAGAAAAATGGGTTTATATATCTGTGGAATGACCAGGGTGGGACAAGGGACTTTTATCTGTAGGGGAACAAGAGATTCCCCCCAGGCCCTTCCAAGCCATTGAATGCTAATCAAGGTGATCAGCTGAAACATTCACAGCTAGCCCCAGCAGACAAAAGTCCTTTGTCTCACCCTGGTCATTCCACAGATATATAAACCCGTTTTTCCTACTTCCAACAGACCTCACTACCTCTGAGGATGCTTGCCATAGATGCAGGCGAAACGTCAGGAGAAAAATTGCCTCCAGAACATGGCCATATAGCCCGGAAAAACCTACAACAACCCAGTGATTCCGGCCATGAAAGCCTTCGACAATACATTGAACGTCCCAGATCTTTTCCCTAACAGTCTAGGGGACATCCAGAACATTAGAACAACAATAGAGTTAATGGATAGGTTAGTTGTGGCATTCAGTTGTTGATCTGTTTTAAGTATTGTATTCTCAAACAAAGCTCAGCATCCATGGTTCTATACAGTGTACACGAGGACATGTGAAGAGCTTCCAATGCAAAATTTTACCCAGAGGGGGGGAAAAGAGGAGTGCAGATAAACAGAAGTAGGATGTATGAAAAGTTATTTTAGTTACGTATACTAGCCGTCCTCTGCCACGCTTTGCTGTGGCCCAGTCTGTGTATATGTGTTTTGTGTGTGTATATATGTGTATATATTTTTGTACATGTGTATTTATGTGATTGTGCATAAATACACATGTGGCTATGCCGAAGACCCCAGTCGCACAGTGGGTTAAACCATTGAGCTGTTAAACTTGCTAACCAAGTTGAATTGTTGCCTCTGTTAGCCACCCTGCGTCCCCCCTCGGGGGTGAGAAGGGCGGGGTATAAATGGTGTAAATAAATAAATAACAGGAGTTGAGTGTTTGTAGAAGGGAGAGAGGTATAATATTTTGAAAAAGCAAAAAAATCTTTGGGTGGTTGTAGTGCTAGAGGAGCAAAGGTCACAATTTAAAATATATAGCAATGTCGGAACAGACAAATAAGAGTAAGCCAAGGTCATGAATGTCTTCAGAGTAAAGGAAAAAGAGCCCATGCCATATTTTGGAGCAGCAACCAAACCCATGTAAGGATTTAAGCAAAAATTCAGATGATGTCTGTCAAAAGTAGTAAATGATTTCGTTAGGAGAGAACTGGATAGGCTCATTGGTACCTAAAGAGGAGCACAGGGAGGTTTGTGAAAAGAAGAGGTCTAGGCAACATATGACCAGTATATGTACAAGATTCTTTGCTGAGGGAATGGAGAGAAAGGTATGTTATATCCCGAATAAATTACTGCAACACACTCTACGTGGGGCTGCCTTTGAAGACTGTTCGGAAACTTCAACTAGTCCAACGGGTGGCAGCCAGACTACTTACTGGAGCGACATACAGGGAGCATACCACCCTCCTGTTATGTCAGCTTCACTGGCTGCTAGTCCAGTTCTGAGCAGAATTCAAAGTGCTGGTCTTGACCTATAAAGCCCTATATGGTTCTGGCCCAGTTTACTTGTCTGAACGTATCTCCCCCTATGTCCCACCTCAAAACTTACGATCTTCCGAGGAGGTCCTGCTCACAATCCCATCTTCGTCTAAGCAAACGTGCTTAGTGGGGAGGGATAGGGCCTTCTCAGCGGTGGCCCCCTGCCTAAGGAACTCACTCCCCAGTGAAATTAGGTCAACGACTTCCCTCCTTTCCTTTAGGAAAAAGTTGAAGACGTGACTATGGGACCAGGCATTCAGATAGCATATTGGAAAAAAAAATGATGACAATTGTTCTATCATGCGCTGGGCCTGTAAAGAATTTCCTTTAGAACAGGACGTGCAACCTTTGCCCAGCGGGAAGCCTAAAGAGAAGTTCTCAGAGGTTTTCACCACAAATAGTCTTTAGATGGCTTGTGAAGTACAACAAAGTCTTTTATTAATGAACAATCAAACAGAAACTTCTCTTGTCTTCAGTAAAGTTAAGCAAATGATTCCAAGCTTTTAGGCAACTGGTGAATTCCTAATCTTGCCCACGAAGGACAGGCAACTGTCTTCAATAACTTCTTCTTTAAAGAAAAATCTCCTTTTTAACTTCTCCCAGGCTGACTGTAATCTAACCCTTACTGATGTGGGCTCCGCTACCGGGTCGAACTGCTTCTCGAACGCCAAGTGGACCTACCAGTAAAGGCTTAGATGTTCTCCAGCTGGAGTTCTTTGGTCTTTAGGGCTGTTTTCCTGGAAATTCTTAAAGGTTGAAGCTTTTGTACAGGGGAAGCTTGCACACGTCCTATACATTAGCTTTCCTTGCTGAGACTAACTAAAAATGGCTCCCTTCCCTTCCCAATTGCCCTGAGCAAGGGGCGGAACCAAAACTTAACGATGATGGACAGGTGACTTGCCCTATGACTGCAACCAAAGGAAGCCACCTATCTGCAGAGTCCCTGAAACCTTGGACTGCAAACAAACATTTAATACAAAGCAAATAAAGCTGGAGCTCCTGGTACAGCTGTACCAGAACAACAATGCTATGGAAAACAAGACTATGGACAAGCTTCGGATTAAGTTGTTGATTGTAGAACTCAGACTTGACATGCCAACTAATTCAATTTGTACTATTTTAAATGGTTTTTAATCTAATGTTAATGTTTTACTTATTATGTAACTGTTGTTTTATCTGTTGTATATGTGGGGTTGTACATATGCCGTCTGTAATCTGCCCTGAGTCGCTCTTTGGGGGTAGAGAAGGGCGGGGTACAAATATTTGAAATAAATAAGTATGTATCTTTGCAATGTAACCAAGCAGAAGTGACATGACTTGACTGTGAATACCGACAAACAAGATGAAAGGAGAACGAAAAAATAAAGATAGACCCATACTTCAGTTCTAAAAGAGCAAAAGAAAGGGATGAGAAGTTGAGTTTTGCATATACTGAGCTTGTGACAATGTGAAGACTTGTTCCGTTGCAATTAAGTGTGAAACTTGAAGGTCAACTTTGTTTTAATAATAGCAGATAGAATAGCCAGTTGTAAATGATTAGAAGCATTTTAGTCTTAAGATCCTACCTTAATAGAAATTTCATATTTTTTAATTTTTTCATTAGTTTCTATGTTGAACAAATCAGCTGAAACCACTTACAGATCGGAAGGTAGTTGCTCGATAACAGTTCAGCTTTTCTTGAATCTCCATATGTATATGTTGCCTCGGATTTGTTGACAAACTTACATGGTACAAATTTCTTTCCTGTTAATCCTCTGGAATATTGAAACGTTTTCTCCTCTTGGCAGTATTGTCAACAAGTATATTGTTGTGAAGATCGAACTCCTAAAAATCTCATTTTGCTATTTAAAAACTTGTTGTGTGGACAGCTAATATTTCCCCTTTCCTTGAAATTTTAGGACTGATGTTATGTTTTGTTTCTTCTGCTGTTTCCAATAGATATTGACGAGTGTCTGGTAAACAATGGTGGCTGTGACCACTTCTGCCGTAATACAGTGGGCAGCTTTGAATGCAGCTGCCAGAAGGGCTATAAACTACTAACAGACGAACGAACCTGCCAAGGTAATACTCTTTTAAGCATACTTGTTTGTCATTGCTTAGTGACTTCAGTAATTCAGTGTTTGAAATGAAAAAGTCCAGAAGGCTTATTTTATTATCTACCAGAGAGGTTGTAACAACAGTGTTGTAATTCTGTTATCTTCAACATAAATTTTATTACAAGTTTGATCTATGTGATCCGTAGATAGAAACAGACCAATTTGTTAATACCAGCAAACCCTGATAATGTACATCGTCCTATCTCCTTAGCCTTGAATGTGGCCCTGCCCAGTGAAATCTTGTTTTTAATTGCTTGTTTTATATTGTTTGTGTCGTGTACTATATTTCTTTGCATTTTATGTATTTTATTTTCTGGTATTGGTATGTTTTGTATTACAATGTATGTACTGTACTGATGGGCGTGGCCTCATATAAGCCGCACCGAGTCCCCCTGGGGGGGATGGAGCGGGGTATAAATAAATAAATAAATTATTATTATTATTATTATTATTATTGTGCCGTCGTGCCTGGGGGCTATTATTCTCAATAAAGGAGGGATGGACGTGGCATCTTTCCCCCAGGGGATTGCTTCTTGCCTTCCTATAGGAAACTGGAACTTTCAAGAACCCAAAAAACTATAAATAACTCTAAATAAGTTTTATTTATCACAAAGTCATTTCTTTAAAGCAATGAGCCGGAAAACTTCAGAGGGGTGAAAGAAAATATACGTTACAGTCTTAATTAGTCCTGGGTCCAAGGAGTTTGAAGCTGAGAAGCCTCACCAAGTTTCCTCTTTCCTCAATGGCTGTGAATGCCGGAGCAAACCACAACCCCAGTTCAGATGGCCTATGTTTTGAAGACTCAGATCTTCCTTTGGTGCCAAAAGAACCGGTTTGAAGGTGCTTGGGTCTCCTCAATGTTGTCCAGGACGATCTGGACATAAAGCATGAGTCCCAAGGGTAAAAAACCTCAGAGTTGATGCTAAGAGGTAACTTAAATCAGGGTCTTTTAGAGTCAAGTCTCTTACTCATGTCCATATGGTAGGAACTCTGATGGCAGAATGAAAAAGGAAGCACTCCCCTCCTGCAGGAAGAGGTGGAGCCAAACAGTACTGATTGACAGCTATAAGTAACCAATCCATACAACTATACATAAGCAGGGTAAAAGGGGCAGGATTAAGCATGATACAACAGTTTAAATCTTGCAACTAACAGTTCTATACATAGGTGGCGCCACTTGCGCCATCACAATTATTATTATTATATGCTTACTTAAAAGTCGTTAATGAACATTTGACAGTGGCCCCTTCTACACTGCCATATAAAATCCAGATTATCTGCTTTGAACTGGAGTATATTCAAAGCAGATAATGTGGACTATCTACTTGGATAATCTGGGTTATATAGCAGTGTAGAAGGGGGCAGCACCTCTTAACTCCCTCTAGTCTACCCAGTTGTAATAAAGGTCTTTTCTAGCTGGTGCGATATGACTTTTTACCAGCTAGTTGGTGATTTTAAATCATGCCTCCATGAGACCATTTAGAATGCACTACAAACAGCTTAAGTCCAGACTATTTGACAAACCGCATCTCCCTCTACAGACCAATTCGGACACTGCAATCATCGGAGGAGGTCTTCCTCTCAGTTCCACCCCCATCCCAAGCACGGCTGGTGGGAACGAGAGAAAGGGCCTTCTCCGTGGCTGCCCCTCACCTCTGGAATTGCCTTCCTAAGGAGTTAAAGATGGCCCCCTCCCTCTCCACTTTCAAATAACAGCTGAAGACATACCTTTGCTCACTGGCTTACGAGGAGAAGGAATAGGAGTTGGTATTACCACCATTATACCTCTGATTAATAGTTGCCATCTGTATCCATGCCCTGCTCACCCCACCAGCTCAATAGATACCTTGAGCAAAGATTAATCTATTTGCCCTAAAGAAATGGGAAATTGTTTTTTCCATTTGATGTTTGATGTTTTGTCTTATGTCTATTATAACAGGTTGTGCTTTTTATTTAATTTTAGTTTATTAAGTTATAATTCATATTTATATGTTGGGTTGTATCAATTTTGTTAGTATGGATGTATTGTTGTTGTATTCGGGCATTGAATGTTTGTCTTTTATGCCCTGAGTCCCTTTGGGGAGATAGAGCAAAATATAAATAAAGTTTTTATTATTGTTACCTGGGTTACAACAGAGACATAATGTAGATTTGGTAAATAGGTGTCTGTATACATTTTAAAGGTGATAGAGAAAATATGCCTCGTCCTAATACCAGCTTTGTGAGTACCTTGTGAGATAAAATACAATCAATCAGCCTAGTTAAGCTGACTTTAAGTGTCAATCTTGGCAAGAGAAAATCCATTAAATCAATTTATATTTATTCATTGTTAAATGTTGCATAGAAGTATTTACTCACCAAGTTTCCATTGATATGTGTATCTCTAGTTGGGAACAAGAATGAGATTTGAGACTAATTTCACACCTTTGATATGCTCACTGAAGCTATACCCACCCCAAGAAAGTGAAAAACCTGAGTTAACACTGCTCTAGGTATATTTGGCATGTCAAAAGTTCTGAGAGTGCCTTGATAAAATACTATTTTATCCAATCTTGATAAAATAGTAAAGAGTAGAGACATCAGACTGGCAACAAAGATCCGCCTAGTCAAAGCCATGGTATTCCCTGTAGTAACCTACGGATGTGAGAGCTGGACCTTAGGGAAGGCTGAGCGAAGGAAGTTCGATGCTTTTGAGCTGTGGTGCTAGAGGAAAGTGCTGAGAGTGCCTTGGACTGCGAGAAGATCCAACCAGTCCATCCTCCAGGAAATAAAGCCCGACTGCTCACTGGAGGGAAGGATACTAGAGACAAAGTTGAAGTACTTTGGCCACATCATGAGGAGACAGCAAAGCCTCGAGAAGACAATTATGCTGGGGAAAGTGGAAGGCAAAAGGAAGAGGGGCCGACCAAGGGCAAGATGGATGGATGGCATCCTTGAAGTGACTGGACTGACCTTGAAGGAGCTTGGGGTGGTGACGGCCGACAGGGAGCTCTGGCGTGGGCTGGTCCATGAGGTCACGAAGAGTCGGAGACGACTGAACGAATGAACAACAACAACAAAGTGGGAAGGTGAAGATACCAGCCCTGGCAGGATCAAGCTGAGTGCTGGTCGAATGAACAACAAGAACGACTGAACGAATAAACAACAACAACAATAGCTGACTGTAGAATCAGACTGCAAAGCTTTTCCTCTTTCTGTCCTTTCTTCCTTCTCTACCTCTTTGCTTCCTTCCTTCCTTTGCTCTTTGCTTCCATGCTTTCTTCTCTCCTTCCTTCCTTCCTTCCTTCCTTCCTTCCTTCCTTCCTTCCTTCCTTCCTTCCTTCCTTCTTCTTTTCCCTTTCTCTCTCTCCCTCCCTCTTCCTTCCCTTTTTTCTGTATGTCATTTATCTTTTTGTCATTTATCTTTTGAGGGTTTTAAGTCCTTTCCACTTTTTTTTTGGGGGGGGGGGTTATGAGTGATAGACACAAATTGGTCTGTTAGCATTGCTGTGGCCAACCTTCCCTCCCTTTTTCTCTCTCTCTCTTTCCTTCCTTCCTTCCCTCCCTCTTTCCTTCCTTTTTTCCTTTCCTTCTCTCTTTCCCCCTCCCTTCCCCCCTTTTTTTACCTTCTTTCTCTCCTTTCTTCCTTCTCTACCTCTTTCTTTTCTCCTTTCCTTTGCTCTTTGCTTTCATCCTTCCTTCTCTCTTTCCTTCTTTCTTTCCCGTCCTCTTTCAGTCCTTTCTTCTCTCCCTCTTTCTTTTCTTCCTTCCCTTCTCTCCCTCTTGCCTGGGCACTGGCAGTAAGGGAGCCTTGCTGTAGCCCTCAACCTTTCTGGGCCAGGCGTGGGGCTGGTGGGAGGCACTTTTTGAGGAACGCCTCGCTCACCCAGTGCCGCCCCTTCTTCTTTCTGCCATGACTGCAGGGCGCCCTCCCTGTTTGGCTGGTGAGCATGCAGGCAGGGTCATATGGAAGGCGCCCTGCGGCTGAGGCAGAAAGAAGGGGCCAATGTGGGTGAGCAAGGCCCACCTTGAAAAGCGCCTCTCACCTGCCCTACGCCTAGCCCAGCAAGGCTGAGGGCTGCAGAACTCCCTTCTTGTTGGTGCCCAGGCAAGGGAAGCTGAAGCCTGGCAAGCAGCGTCCACACAGAGCAGCCACCCGCTTGCCTCTCCAGGGGAAAAAGAAGGAGGAGAGGTCTGTGTTTGGTGGGGCTGACAAAGAGAGGAAGGAGACTGGGAGGAAGGGAAGGAAGGAGGGCCCACGCATGGAAAGGGACTTCATGGCGAGGCTTCTCTTCCCTCACAATGGTTGGTGCTTCATTCTTCTCGCACAATGGGGAGGTGGCTTTTGCACATGCTCTGTAAAGCATTTTTCTTTTTGGGGAGTTTTAAGTTATTTCCCCTTCATTTTTATGGGGTTTTTTTGTTTGAAAGACATAGATTGGATTATAATGTGTTTTGCTGCCAAATTTGGTGTCATTTGGTCCAGTGGTTTTTGAGTTCTGTTAATCCAACAAACGAACATTACATTTTTATTTATATAGATTAAATGACCCAGACAAGCTTAACGTATTCAGAGTTAACCTGTCAGCCTATACTTTACTCATTCCCAATAGCTTTGAGGAAGTAATATTCATAGTGAGTTATGTGCTACATGTTGTTGTTGGGTAAAATTTTGAGAGGAACTTCTGCAAGTTGATGCAGAAGTTTTTTTTTTCCAAAGACCTCATTTTCTCTATAGCTCTCAGATCAATTTCCCATTTACTGGTCATTCAGTTGGCACCCCAACTCCCCCCCCTTTTTTTTTAACTTGATTTCTAGATAAATTACTACAAGATTGCAAGGGATTTGCTATATGGAAACATGTTAAAACCTTTCCTTTTCTTTAAATATCCCACAGAAGAGAAATGTGTCTAGAATGTGAAGAGAAATAAACTATCACTTGTTTAACTGAAGTTAATTGCAAGGCATGAAATCTTAATGCTTTTT